GATGAAACGCGGTGCTAAACCTCAATTTCGTACCCATGGATTCCTGGAACTTAGGCCAAAACCGTGATGTGAACCGTGGGTCCCTATCCGATACTATAGTAACCGGAACCCCATGCAGTCTCACAATCTCATCTGTGTACAATTTGGCCAACCGCTCGAGCGTATAGGTAGTGTTGATAGGTAGGAAATGAGCGCTCTTGGTCAGCCTGTCGACTACCACCCATACCGCGTCGTAGTTCCTAACCGTCCGTGGTAGACCCACCACGAAGTCCATGGTAACATGCTCCCACTTCCATTCTGGAATGGTAAGTGGTTGCAATAACCCTGCCGGGTGTTGGTGCTCTGCCTTAACCTGTTGACAAGTAAGGCAACGGCTCACGTATTCTGCAATCTCTCTCTTCATCCCCGACCACCAGTAGCTTTCCTTCAAGTCCCGGTACATCTTTGTACCGCCCGGGTGCATGGCATACGCAGATGAGTGAGCCTCCTCAAGGATAGATTTTCGGAGCTCCTCATCCGATGGTACACACACTCGTTCCTTGAATAGTAGAAGTCCATCTTTTCTCTCACGGAAACCCTCGACGGGCCCCACAAGCATCCGTTCCCGGATTTTCTGAAATTCCTCGTCATTGTCTTGACATGTTCTGATTTCATCTAATAAGGTGGGTCTCACCTCAAATCTGGCCAATAGCGCCCCATCCGTGGATACCTCCACGCGTGCCCTCAGTGCCCGTAAGCATGTGAGTAAAACCCCTGATGATGAGCTCTTCCTGCTCAGTGCATCAGCTACAACATTAGCCTTGCCTGGATGATAGTCAATGGTCAAGTTGTAATCCTTAATCAACTCCATCCATCTCCTCTGTCTCATGTTCAACTCTTTCTGAGTGAACACATACTTCAAGCTCTTGTGGTCGGTGTAAATGTGACACAACTCCCCGTAGAGGTAGTGCCTCCAAATCTTCAATGCAAATACCACAGCACCTAGCTCCAGATCATGTGTGGGGTAGTTTACTTCATGCTTCCTCAACTGCCGAGAAGCATAAGCAATTACCTTCCCTGATTGCATCAGTACACATCCCAGTCCCTGAATGCTAGCATCGCTGTAGATGTCATACCCTAACCCTTGCACGGGCAAGGCAAGCACTGGTGCTTCGGTCAAACGTTTCTTTAGCTCAAGAAACCCCTTTTCACACTTGTCATCCCACACAAACTTAGCCCCCTTTTTAGTGAGCTTCGTGAGTGGGGATGCTATCACCGAGAACTTTTCCACGAATTTGCGGTAATACCCTGCTAAACCGAGGAAACTCCTTATCTCCTTCACGTTCTTGGGCCTCTCCCAATTAGTGACCGCCTCAATCTTGGAGTTATCAACTGAAATGCCCGAGCCCGATACCACATGCCCGAGAAAACCGATCTCCCCAAGCCAAAATTCACATTTAGAGAATTTGGCAAAAAGTTGCTTCTCCCGCAGTGTTTCAAGCACAAGCCTTAGATGTTTTTCATGTTCCTCTTCATTCATGGAGTATATCAAAATGTCATCAATGAATACTATGACGAACTGGTCTAAGTATTGGTGAAATACTCGGTTCATGAGGTCCATGAATGCCGCGGGGGCGTTCGTAAGCCCAAACGACATTACTAGAAACTCATAGTGACCATACCTCGTACGGAATGCACTTTTGGGTATGTCACTCTCCTTGATCTTCAGTTGATGGTAGCCTGACCTCAAGTCAATCTTAGAGAACACCGTTGCCCCCCGTAGTTGATCAAACAAGTCATCGATCCTTGGCAAAGGATATTTGTTCTTTATCGTGACCTTGTTCAACTGACGGTAGTCGATACACATTCTGAGTGTACCATCCTTCTTCTTTACAAATAGTACCGGTGCTCCCCATGGTGAATGACTCGGCCTGATGAATCCGTTGTCCAGCAATTCTTCCAATTGCACCTTCAACTCTTGAAGTTCAGCCGGTGCCATCCGATATGGAGGAATCGAGATGGGTTTTGTACCGGGTTCTACTTCAATGGTGAACTCAATTTCTCGATCTGGTGGGAGTCCCCGGAGTTCTTCAGGGAAAACTTCTGGGTACTCACTCACCACTCTCACCTCAGTGAGACTCTTTTCCTTGCCCTCCTTGCCTATGACATAGGCCAAGTGTGCTTGACACCCTTTCCTCATCATACGCCTTGCTCTTATGGCCGATATGATACAAGGGTTGAATTTCCCTCTATCTCCCTCGAAGCATAGAGTGTTTCCTTCTCCATCCTTTAGTTCTAACACCTTGGTGTAGCAATCTACCTTCGCATGGTGTTTTTCGAGCCAATCCATGCCAAGTATAGCATCAAACTCGAGCATATCTAACGGCACAAAGTCACCCGTTAGACAGTGCCCCCCTATCCCTACGTTACACGAGGGATAGTAGTGTTTCCGCTCTACATCATCTCCCAATGGCGTAGAGACCAGCAAAGGTTGCATCATTGCTACCAAAGGCATGTTCAATCCCTTGGCAAACGCTTCGCTCACAAACGAACGTTGTGCCCCGGTATCGATGAGAATTCTCGCATCCCTATCGTTGATCTTTAGTGTTCCTACATATATAAGTCATGTAAGACACCCTATTCGTCATCCCGACAGAAAAGGACCGGACGGAAAAATTTCAGCCTAGAATTACCCTATACCCGGTCGGGTAGGGTCTTCTACCCGGTCGGGTATCACTCGAATTCTTAAGGGGAAACCCCCCTGTTTTCCTTGCTCGGTCGAGTACCAGCCTCGAATTCGGGCAAAATGTCAATACCCGGTCGGGTATCACTCAAAATCCACAAATAAAAGCTCCCTGTCTTCTACGCTCGATCGAGTACACACTTCGAAGCTCAAAATCTACACATACCCGACCGAGTATATAGCCATACCCGATCGGGTATTGCTCGAAATGTCAAAAATAAAGCATCCTGCCTTGGCTGCCCGAACGGGTGCACACTTCGACCTCGAAGCATAGCTTATACCCGGTCGGGTCTATAGGAGTACCCGATCGGGTCCTTCATATTTTTGAAGATTTTTAAACCCATTACATGATCAAATACGTGTGAAATCAAGAGATTACCTGCAATGGAGTCCGGGTTGGCCCGATCATCAGCCTCGGTCATTGCATACACCCGTGCTTGGGTCCTCCCTTGGTTAACGGACGCGGCGTTGCTAACCGTGGGTCCGCTCCTTCCTGTGCCGGCCTGAGACGGCCCCGCACGTCCCCTACTAGTCGTAGGTCCTCCCATGGCTCCCGATGGTCCTCCCCCGTTCAGCATTGGACAAGAGGATTTGAGGTGGCTCGTGCTACCGCATTTGTAACACCAGGGTGGTTCATTGCACTTCCCCGCATGACTCTTGCCGCAGTTTGCACACCTCGGTGACCACGTACTCCCTGGTTTGGCCCCTTGCCCTCCTGAGCCTTTATTCCTTTTCGCCGGTGGTGCCGGCGCCCTGAATAAACTGCCACCCCCAGCATGATGCTTTCGGGAGTGGTCTTGGGGTCCAGCGTTTCCCCATCTTCTTTTCTTCGCCTCCTCGGCGTCCCTCAACTTCCTCTCGTTCCATTGGGCTTCCCCAAGGAGCCCCTGATCAACGGTTTGGCTAAATGTCATACTGTGATGGTAAGTAGCCCGGTCACGGATGTCCAACTGTAGAGCATCCCAAAAGTGATTGGCCATACGATTTTCATCCAATGAGTATTCTGGGATGAATCGTGCCAAGTCACGGAACCTTTGTTCCAATTGCCTCACCGAGCAACCATCCTCCTGTTTCAGGTTCGTGTACTCTCTTCTTTTGAGATTGACTTCAAAAGTTGAGTAGTACTGATTATAGAACTCCACTTCGAATTCCTCCCAAGTGGCTTCACCGTGGAACTTTCCCTCCACGCCTTCCCACCATACAGCAGCTACCCCTTCTAGTAACCTGGTGGCAACCCTCAACTTCACGTCGAGTGAAATTTGCATGTCCCTAGAAGCATCATTCAGCTTCTTAATCCAGTCGGCGGCCTCAGATATGTCGCCCTTGCCATCAAATGATTTGCACCCCAAGGCCCTGGCCTCCTTGAGGTACTTGGAGATACGCACCATCGTGTCTCCTCCAAATGCTCCAGATGGAGCACTAGAAGCTCCCCGGCTTCCTTGTCCCATGGCCTGCCTAGCCTGTGTAGCTTGGCGCCGCTGTTCTCTCCTTGCCTTATTCTCGAGGTACCATTCTAGTACCTCACTCATACGGTCATAATGAGGATCATCATCCTCATCTTCTTCCTCAAAGTCCTCCCCGTTGTACGGGGTCTCCGCTTGCTCCGTGCTTGGAGCATACGTGAAATCGTCCGGTTCGGTGGCCCTAGATGGGTGCACAGAACCGACATGTGTGCTACTTTCCATCGGCATTGTAGAACGCCCACGACCCCTGCCTCGGCCTCCTCCTCGGCTTTGGCCCCGGCCTCTACCCCTAGAGGTCCGTGATTCCGCCCGAGTGGCATGCCCGGTGGCCCCCGGCACATGCCCTGTCGGGTTCCTCCTAGTTATCCTGCGTCCACCCTCCATTTATGAAAGAAATAAGGAATGAGTCATTAGACTCGTTTCAATGTCAATTGACGGATTAGTACAAAAGACACCACTTGGTCCAACATTATGGCCAACAAACTGTTAAGGTTACCGTCTTAACAATAAGAGGTCAATAACTTGGTTTCCAACGGTTCCTTAAGTACAAAAACTGTTGCTCATGGTTTTATTCAAAACTTTTTGAGGATAACCATATTGAGAGGTTAATTATATAGTTTAGAAATCGATGGCTCTGATACCACTTAATTGTCACGCCCCGGACCGCATCCGAGCCACGTAGACAACCGCCGTACAACCCGATAGGAACAACAACAGTCCATCCCTATGGGATTGTACAAGGCGTCCGATTGATTCTATTGCCAAACCGATTAGTAAACACATACAATCAACATCAATATCATAATCAAACAAATGCGGAATAATAAAATGTTTGATACTTAGCCACACGTGGCAAACACGGGCACGCAGGCCCCCAACTGTTTTAATGAAAATATTGTTCAAAAATCCATGAGCAGTTTATACATTTGAAATAAGAATGGAAGCACGAACCACGTCTTCCTTCTCGATCAATCACCCTAGGCAAAGGTGCAGGTAGTAGGACTCTAGCCTCAACCTGAAAAATGTGAGGGCCCCCGGAGGGGTCAGTACTCCATAGAAGTACTAGTGACAAGCAGGCTATATGAAGAATAACTAATGTTTCAGACACGAGACCCAAAAATAGGGTGATATATATACATATAGATGTCCCTCATCCACCCGATGATACATACTGTATATATACTCGTAAAATACTCAACCCGTAGGTCATTTACCTTAAAGAGTCTTTTAGAGATAAAGTTCTTACCTGACTTTTCTCACTCCTTTCCCGGTTTCCTAGCTCACAAGCTATAGTCTACCTTCGATTCATACTACCGAGTGTTTTAGGATCATTTACCGTCTAAGGCACTCAACCCATCCTGGAGTATTTAAGATCATTTACCGTCCAAGGGTACTCGGCCCCACCTGGAGTATTCTGGATCATTTACCGTCCAAGGGTACTCGACCCCGCCTGGAGTATTCTGGATCATTTACCGTCCAAGGGTACTCAACCCCACCTGGAGTATTCTGGATCATTTACCGTCCAAGGGTACTCGACCCCACCTGGAGTATTCTGGATCATTTACCGTCCAAGGGCACTCAATCCCCAGTCTATTCTCTACCAAATCCTAACCTGGATATGGCTAACCTTTCATTCCTTTAACTATGGACAATGCCTAGCCCTATAGTCATATAACAATCCTTAGGATCCAACGTGGGCGGGTCCCACCCGAACGGCCCACGTTAACCTACTCAAAACTGCCCATTCTGAGCTTAACCCAATACTCGGTCGGGTATCCAACCTTACCCGGTCGGGTGGGGTGAGGCAGTAGCCCCTGGAGCCAACTTTACTTGAGACCCGGTCGGGTCTACACCCATACCCGGTCGGGTCTAATGTGGCAGTGGCTTCTGGAGCCATTTTTAACCAAAACCTGGTCGGGTATTTACCCATACCCGATCGGGTAACACCTTTGTCTTGGCGGTCAACGCTCGTTTGACCGCCCAAACGAAGTCCGATTAACGTGAAATTTTTTACACTCACACTTCTTGACGTCCTTGATCCAAAAATACCATTTTGGATCCCTGGAACATCACACATAAGAAGTTATCACATTTTTTATCACCAAACCTACATAACATGCTTTTCAATTATGTTTTATGTATAATCATGGCATAAGCACACACTTGGTTATCTTTAATCATTCCACAAAACATATTCCTGATTACTTTAGGTAATCTCATGCCTCACGCAAAAGTTATAAAGCATAAAGCCGTCTTCTCACCTTAATGAAGCTTATGAAGTTCTAGCCTTCCCGATTTAGCTCCGACGAAACTCCGGCGAACTTCAACGAACTCCGGCGACAACTCCGGCGACCTTTTCAACTCCGTGAAAGTTCCTTGAATACCTTAGACAAGTTACTAACAAGGTTTTATCATCATAAAACCCATAGTAATACAAATAACCTCAAAAAGGTTATTTTCCGGCGAACCGGTCACTTTGGCTTCTAAGTCCGTTCTTGGACTTAGAACTACCTTCCAACCCCTCTTTCTACACATCCCAACGTGTAGAACATTACTAGGGTGTGAAATATGATTGAATAATCATAAAAGAGTATTGAAGAACAAGAAATAGGAGTAATGGAGTCATTACCTTGTTAAACACAAGTTTTCCCACCTAAACTCCTCTTTTCTCTTCTCTTTTCCCTTTCTTCTTCCTCCCTTAACTTGGTGCGTGTATGATGGATGAAAATGGTTTATTTGCAGAGCTGCTCTCATTTGGTTGATGCCTGATACGAAATGGGATGGGTTGGTATGATTGAGAATGCCTTCTTGGCATTTCTCACAATCATGGCATGTGGGAGGCCCTACTCCATTTAATGCCTTTCCCCTCAACCCCTTCTCTTTCCCCTCCCCCTTCTCTTTGTGCGGCTCCCTTGACATCTGCAGCACTAAATCCGTGGGGTGGCCCCCACTCATGTGGGAGGTCATCCCTTTATGTCCCCAAGTGTAGAATCGGTCCCGAAAGTTGTATTTTCCGGACTGTTTTAATTATATTTTATTTTATCGGGTCAAATAAAATATAACACTTGTTCCCAATCCTTATTGGACCTTAGAATCAATATGAATTCCCCAACTTTAATTTAGAAGTCTCCGAAATCCCTTTTTTGGGCTGTTATCTGATAAATTTCTTGATACCGATAATTTGGCCCGTTTGACCAACCGGTCAACCTTGTGCCATCGTCATGGCCCAATTTGGGTATCCACCACCATATGCATATTATTTAGTCCAAGATTAATATAATATGTGGTCCCGATAATATCGGGCGGCCCCACATCCGGTGTGGGCCCCACGTGAATTTTACTATTCACGTAATAGAAATGATAAAAATTTACAATCACGTAAAAATGCTTTTATACATTTCTCAAGGTTCAATACATAATTTGGTACAGTACAAATACTCGGGGGCGGTGTTACAAGGTATCTTCTACTTCCAACTCTAGTTTTTCCTCGGTAGGCAGAGCCTTTGATTCTGATTCAATGTCAGAATTTTGGGAAGAGTTTCAAGCCATTCAAACCACTTATTCTTCTGTTAAAGAAGAAAACAGTAAGCTTAAGGATGAAATTCTTGACTTAAGAAAGGAGGTTGAGATCAAAATCAATCTTCTAATTAAGGAAAGAGATCAGCTGGAAGCTGAAAATGTTTCTCTTCTAAAGAGAATAAAAGTGATAGAGCCTCTTGAGATTAAGTACAAAGCTTACCAGAAGGCCCAGTCTTCCATGGAAAAGATTGTACTTGATCAACAAATTGGCACTAGTTTTGGTCTTGGTTATGGCTCAACAGAATCAGGTGAGCCTTCTGTAATGCCTAGCACCAGAGTTGCTAAGGCAGACAAGGTCATAGTGCCACTGATTTCTAGCCCCATTTGTCAGGCTGGTGTATCTGGCACCAAGGTTATTCATGAGAAAGTCAGACCAGAAAAGGAAAAGATAAAGGTTCAACAGAAACCCATTTTAAAAATTAATGAACCTGGCAGAAAACCTAACAACAGAAAAGGTTTTCAGAATACCAAAAATCAAAGACAAACCCATAACAGACAAACTCATGATAACCGTGTCAGAGATGATCACCAGAAAGGCAGATATCAAGAGAAAGTTAACTTTAGGCAGAAAAGGTTGGCTGGTCAACTTAAGAAGCCCAAAGTTAATCGCCCCTCTGATCTTGATAGTATATGGGACTTCTACCCAACTAAAAAGGCTATGCAGAAGTATGTAAACCGGAAGCATGATCCTCACAAGCATCTGTCCAAAGTGAATCACACTTCCGTTTACTATGACTACCAGGTGGACAATGGGTACCACCCACCAAGGTTTCACTTGATGAGACCAAAGTGGTACCGACTGCCAAGACTGCATGACCCCCTAGGACCCAACATTGCTTGGGTACCTAAATCTTCCTTTTAATTTTGTAGGAACTGTGTGCTGGAGCCATCTCTGAGTAAGATTGGTACATTGATAGTGGATGCTCCAGACACATGACAGGTGACAAGAGTTGCCTAACAGAGTTCCAGAAAGTCAAAGGGCCCAGAGTTACCTTTGGAGGTAATGATAAAGATGGCCAGACAAAAGGAAGAGGGAAGCTGATAAAGAACCAGATAATCATTGATGATGTCTCTTATGTCAAAGGATTGAAATTCAACTTGCTGAGTGCTAGCCAATTCTATGACAAAGGCTACACAGTTGAATTCTCCAAGGAAAGATGTTCTGTCAAGCATGAGACAACTAAAGAAGTGGTTCTAACAGCAACAAGGAAGAGAAACATCTATGTAGTTGATTGGTCAACTGCAAAAGATGGAATTTGCCTGATAGCTAAAGGAGATTCAAAACTCAGTTGGGAATGGCACAAGAAACTGAGCCACTTGAATTTCAAAACAATCAACAAGCTAGCAAGGGATCACATTGTTGAAGGTCTACCCAACCTTGTATACAAAAAGGAGAACTTGTGCAGTGCATGCCAGAAGGGCAAACAAGAGAAGAACTCCTTCAAACCCATTGCTGGAAACCTCTCTACTGGTCCCTTGAATCTAATTCACATGGATTTATTTGGACCAGTGGAAACTCCAAGTGTTGGTGGCAAGAGATACACCTTAGTCATGGTGGATGACTACTCCAGATTCACATGGACTATCTTTCTGACCAAGAAAAATGAAACTCTGCAGAAACTACCTTCTCTGCTAAAGCTACTACAGAATGAGCAGAATCAGAAAGTCAAAGCCATCAGATCAGACAGAGGAACAGAGTTCGTCAACAAGGTCATACAGGAATTCTGTGACCAGAATGGTACAATGCATCAACTCTCTGCAGCCAGAACTCCTCAAAACAATGGAGTTGCAGAAAGAAGAAATAGAACCTTGAAGGAAGCTGCAAGGACCATGATTGCTGAATCAGGTCTACCTTACAGATACTGGGCTGAAGCAATCAATACTGCATGCTACACCCAGAACCGGAGCATGATTCACAAAACTCATCAGAAAACCCCCTATGAATTATGGAAAGGACGAAAACCCAACATCAGCTACTTTCATGCATTTGGATGCAAATGCTATATACTCAACAATGGGAAGGATCACCTCAAGGTGTTCCAAGAAAAAGCTGATGAAGGAACATTCTTAAGCTACTCTAGCACCAGCAAAGCCTACAGAATACTCAACAAAAGAACTCTACTTGTTGAAGAATCGATTCATGTCAAGTTTGATGATCTCAACTCTGTTGAGAGCATAACTGAAAACTTGGAGAAAGCGAATCTAGAAGAATCACCAGAACTGGATCCACCAGAGACGGACATACCAGAATCGGTAACTAACTCTGCCATACCAATACACCATCAGAATCTCATCCTACAAGACAAAAATAGTGATGAAGAATCAGAAGAAGAACAAGAGAATCCAAGACAACCCTTATCAGAACCTGATTTAACTTGGTTAAGAGATCATCCTCCTAATCAAGTAATTGGACAAATCAGAAGTGGAGTCCAGACC